GGGCAGGGCAGGTGTGTGTACGAGGCCCTCTGCAGCAACGCCACCTCCGAATGCCCGCCGCCCGTCATCACGGAGGTGGGTCCCCCTGGGGCCAGGGCCGCCGGTGGGAGGGGAGGGACCCCACCTGAGCCCGGCCCCGCGCCTCGCCCAGCCGCCCAAGCCGCCCGGCTCTGCTGATTTCAGATCCAGCCGGAGACCGGCCCCCTGGGCGGCGGCATCCGCGTCACGATCCTTGGGTCGAATCTGGGGGTCAGGGCGGACGACGTCAAGAGCATCACCGTGGCCGGCAAGAACTGCGCCTTTGAGCCAGAACGGTACTCCGTGTCCACCAGGTGAGTGGACAGTCGGTGGCCTGGGCTCCATGGGCCAGGTCAGTCCCCACCTGGGGGGCCGGGGCAGACGAGGAAGAGGGACATGGGGTGTGGGTGCCCGGGACTCCCCACCTGACGTGCTAGTCAGGAAGGGTCTGGGGTGAGCCTTGACAGTGACCCCACCCTGCCTGTTGGCCCCCAGGATCGTGTGTGCCATTGAGGCCACGGAGGCGCCCTTCACGGGGGGCGTGGAGGTGGACATCAATGGGAAGCGTGGCCACTCTCCACCCCACGTCCAGTTCACCTACCAGGTGAGTGCCTGGCTCCCCTGACCAGGTGGGGACGGACCGGGCGGGTCCGACCACTGCTGCTGACTCCTGGACGGTTGGGGGCTGCGCCCTTCAACGACAGTCACGATGGAGGGGTGGGGAGGACTGCCGCCCAGCCCTGACCTGGATGCACCACCTCTCTCCTAGGAGCCCCAACCCCTCAGCGTGGAGCCGAGGGAGGGGCCGCAGGCAGGCGGCACCACGCTGACCATCAACGGCACCAACCTGGACACAGGCTCTAAGGAAGACGTGCGCGTGACCATTGGTGGCGTCCCTTGCAATGTGTGGGTGTCGCCTGCGGGGCCCCCGAGCTCTGGTCCGCCCTGGCCCTGGGGACCCTGCGTGTGTCCTGGAGGGAGCGGTGCCGTGGGCCTGGGCCCTGGCCCCCTGGCCCCCTGGCCCCCTTGCCCAGGGCTGGAGTTGGTCTCGGGGTGGGGTTGACACTAACAACGTTCACCTCCAGGACGCAGTTTGGGGCGCAGCTCCAGTGTGTCACGGGCCCCCAGGCAGCCCCGGGGCAGCTGTCCTTGGAGATCTACTACGGGGGCTCCCTGGTGCCCAGCTCCGGAATCACCTTCACCTACCGCGAGAACCCCGTGCTGCGGGCCTTTGAGCCCCTGCGAAGCTTCGCCAGGTGTGGCCTCTGCCCTGCCCACCGCCCACCAGGGCTCCCCGTGCCACCCCCACCCCCAGCTACTTCCCTAGTCCCCTACGCCCACTGCCTGGTGAGGATGCAGGAGGGCTGGTCTTGGTGGCAGGAGGAGGCTTCCATAAAAACCCCACTGCACCCCGAGATCCACTCCCTCCTAGAAACCTGACAGGCGGGCCCTAGAGCCCCGTGCCCAGAGACGCTCAAGGATGGCGGGACTCACAGTCACAGTGCTCCGAGCACACCCCAACATACAGCAGGCACGGGCTCACGGGGACCCGTGTGTGCCCCCAAAACCAGTTTGGGGCCAGGGATTTCAACCCCGCCTTCCCTAAGCCCACCACATGGCCAGCATGAGGGTGTGGGCCCGGCTTCACAGGGCGCCTGCTCTGGAGCTGGCTGGGTACCTCCCTTGCCCAGCTGTGCCCACTCAGGTACCCCCTACCCCCAGTGGCGGCCGCAGCATCAACGTGACCGGGCAGGGCTTTGGCCTGATCCAGAACTTCTCCATGGTGGTCATTGCGGAGCCTCTGCAGCCCTGGCGGCGCCGGCGGGAGGCCGGACCCCTGCCGCCCCACACGGTCAGTCCTGCTGCCGGCTGGGGCTCAGAGCCCCCGCTGGACCAGGGGGCCGGCTGGGGAGGGAGTGGCTGTGCCCCGTGGCCTGACAGACAGCCCTTGGCCTGCAGATCGTGGGCACGGAGTACACACGCCACAACGACTCCAGGGTTGTGTTCCTGTCCCCGGCCGTGCCTGAGGACCCCGAGGCCTACAACCTCACGGCACTCATTCAGATGGACGGGCACCGTGTCCTGCTCAGGACGGAGGCCGGGGCCTTTGAGTACGTGTCCGATCCCACCTTCAAGAACTTCACAGGGGGCGTCAAGAAGCAGGTCAACAAACTCATCCACGCCCAGGTGAGGACGGCGCCGGCTGGGGCCCGACCAGGTGCGGGTGGGCCAGCGGCTCAGGGTCTGGGCTGAGCTGGTCCAGGGGTCCCTGAGTCCCTCCTGGTTATGGTGACCCCGCCCCCACCCCCAGGGCACCAACCTGAACAAGGCAATGACGCTGCATGAGGCAGAGGCCTTTGTGGGGGCGGAGCGCTGCATCATGAAGACGCTGACCGAGACCGACCTGTACTGCGAGCCCCCGGAGGTGCAGCCGCCCCCTAAGCGGCGGCAGAAGCGAGACACGACACTCAACCTGCCCGAGTTCATTGTACGTGTGGGCAGGGCAGGCGGGTGGGGCGCCAGGCTGTGCCATGGGGTGCTGGGCACTTGTCTCAGCCAGGCTTGTCCGCGCTGAGCCCTCCCATCCACGCAGGTGAAGTTCGGCTCCCGGGAGTGGGTGCTGGGCCGCGTGGAGTATGACAGTCGTGTGAGCGAGGTGCCGCTCAGCGTCATCCTGCCGCTGGTCATGGTGCCCATGGTCGTCATCATCGCCCTGTCTGTCTCCTGCTACT